ACCTTTTTCTCCCTGGATGCACACATAGAAATCAAACTGTTCAGAGTCATTCAAGTTCAAACACAGGTATAAAAGAGGTGGACAGGGGCTAGGTCACCAGGAACCTGTGGACGTGAGGGTCTTGGTCCTGGGGCAGGGCAATGGTGACAGGGTGAGACTGGCATTTTGTGATAAATGACTCCAGGGAGAAGGGGCAGCGTGGACGTGGAGCTCGGGCCAGCGCGAAGGTGACTGGGAGTCGCATCAGAAATAGAAGAGGACGGATTTGAGAAATACGACCAGGGAAGACAGGATTAGACAGTTAATTATAAATGAGGCGGAGGTGGCAAGAAAGAGGGGGAAGGAGAAAAACATCTATAGCCTCCTGAAAAGTTGACAACATTCTTGGGTAAATAAAAACTACTTAAAGGTTGAAAAAAGAAATAAAACCTCCACCTTCACTGTCCCGGGCTGCAGGGGCATGTGGGACTGAGACCACGACCTGTGCTGGCTCACCTCTGTTACCCTGGGTTTTCCAAGGTCCAGTTCACCCAAGAAAAACAACATGTATTGTCGGTTGTGTCTGGGTACACTGTGAGATCTCGGTTTACACCTCATACGTGGACCACCCGATGGCTAAGAGTTTTCTCGGGGACCTGATAAAACTGGATATCCGGTCTCTGACCCTGTCCCCAAAAGCCTCCAGGACAAGGCCCAGCCCACTGAGAACCAGCAAGGAGAGCCTTTATTCACCCCTTCTCAAGAGGGGTGCCTTCCATCGAAGGAGCCACCCCAAAGCTACTTTTTATCTCGTAGATGGGATTTCTCATATCTGAAGCATCAGGGAAAATGGGAAATCCAAAGGCACAAAGGAACTGAAGAAATGAAGACAACCATACAGCCTGAGCATCACCTGTGTGTGTTCTAAGTCGCTCCAGTCGTCTCTAACTCTTTGTGACCCTATGGACCATAGCCCGCCAGGCTCCTCTGTCCATGGGACTCTCCAGGCAAGGGTACTGGAGTGGGTTGCTGTGCCCTTTTCCAGGGGATCTTCTCGACCCAGGGATCGAACCCGCGTCTCTTAAGTCTCCTGCACTGGCAGGCCATCCTCAAACAATTATTCTGGTGCCAGAGTCTGCTGATCTTAAGTTATAAGTGGGAGGCCCTGGGAAGTTTGGTCTCTTAGTTCTGAATCCTTTTTTGTTATGTTCTGCTCCTGTAGATACTCAAAGTTTCTAAGCTTAGCTGGAAAAAAAAAAAAAGCTACTCAAGGTTTACTTTAGATGAAGTCAGTAAAATTTGGAAGCAATTACAAAAAAAAAAAAAGGTACGTCCTAAGACAGTGCAGTTTGGGCCACCAAAATCAAGGCAAAATCCAAATCACATTATTTCCTAATTCTCTACGTCTAGTTACCCAAGGCGTACTTGAATTACTTCAGGGTCATGAACAACCTTGCTTGTTTCACAGCAGTCTTTGCTTTCTTGCAGGGTGGAGTTATCTTTATCAAGGAACACAAAGGGGCGATGAAGCCCCACCTAAGCCAGGGAGACAGAATTTCCGCACCTGCAGACTTTACACACTGGCCTGGAGGTGATTTCAATACAGCTCAGCAGAGACCCTGCTTATCCGGGCAGTAGGCCAGCAGGGTATTATCAGAACAATCCGACATGTTGCTGGCTTCTTCCACTTCCTAAAAACAGAAGTTGCCACACACACGAAGTAATTCAATGTAAAAGAAAAGTAAAAATAAAAATAAGGAGTATTTTTTTTTTTCCCTCCCTCCTCTTAAAGGGGCAGCAGGTAAGGGTGTTGGGGGGTGCTGACCTGTGCACTTAAACGTTCAGGAGAAAGGAAACGGGAAAGGACCTGGTTTAAGCACTGAGACACCGCACTCCTGCGTGGAGTGCACAGCCAGCTAAATCTGGAAGCACATTCAGCTGTTATGGACAAGAAGGCGAGCCCAGGACACTGCCCGCTGACTGTGAGTGTGTGTGCACTTGTGCATGTGTGTATGTGTGTGTGTTTTCCTGCTGCCCTAAGAATAAAAGTGAAACACAGCTGCGATCCAGCAAGAGTTCATTTGTCAGGGTAACAGTACATTTCATTGTTTACGCCCATACTGGATTTGCTTACCACACAGCCCGCCCATCTCCAGAATAAAAATATACTGGCTGGCTGGCCTCCACAGGATTAAGATATTGATTTTCAATCTATTTCCCCAGGGACAGAGCCGACCAACCACGAGGAAAATGCTCTCGTATTAAGGACTCATTTCAGCTCCGATTTTTAATCTCATAAACATGGGCTTAAAAGAGGGGACTGAAAACATCTTGAAGTTTTCCTCTTGGTGCCTGGATACAAAACTGGAAGGAACTCTGGGTTTAGAGACCAATAAATAGAAAGCAAGAAACGGTGTCATTTTTAAATAAAACATTTTTTTAGAAAGTAAAGAGAGCCCAGAAAAGAATCTCTCCAATGCCACAGGAGCCTCGGAATCAGAAAGTGCTATGTTTCTCTCACCTAGGTCCACACATCACAGAGGCTGGAATAGCTAACTAACCATCACTTGGGAGAGTGGAGACAAGGCTCTGAGAAGGGTTTAAAATCTGAACTAGTGGTTCTGTTAGCAATAGTCACAAATTACTCACTTCTTTCAAATACTTGCATGAATCCACTGCATCTATCATTACACACCTTTGGAAGGGTCACTGACTAGTTAGAAAGAGATATTCAAACTCATTTTACTGCCATCCATTATGATTTTATTCTTTGGAAGAGAATCATTTAATATGGTTGGTGATTCTCTAACCAAACCTGGCCTTCATCTTTGCCCCAGAAGGAATGACTCATTAAATCAGTGCCAACACTATGCAGCACCCACTACACCAAAAGGCAAAGAACAACCAACCTGACAGAGAATTTACATACTGAAGACTCAACCAGAATGTTTAAAAAAAAAAAAAAAGGCGGGGGGGGGGGGCGGGTAAAGAAAATTGGTCCAATTCTGGCTTCTGTCTGGCATTTTATCTGAGGCTGAATTTCCCTCATTAAGGAAGGGGAGCTCAAAAGTCAAACAGCTCCCTCAAAATAAGCTGAATCTTAAGAAAGTATGCCTGGAGGGTTGGCATATATCTTGCTTTTTAAAAAGAGCTCAGAGGACTGGAGCTTTCCGAGGACAGTCTGCTGACACAGGGCCGATCAAAACCCAGGTGCTGGAGAAGCAGCTCCCAGCCCTGGGGGAGAGGGCCCAGGAGGGAGGGAGCCGGACTTCCGGTCAGACAAGCAGCCTTGCTCCAGAAGGGAAGTGAGAAGGCTGCTCTCTGGACAGCTCGCTCGGCTCAAAATGACTGTGGGGCCATCTGTCTCTGTGCAAAAGTGCCGCATCCCAACGAGGAGGCAAGGCTGTCCAGTCACAAGATACAGCATATGCATCATTCTACCTTCACCCTGCACGCTGCTGGAGACTGCAAAGTGCAAGGGAGACCCTGCACCCGTGATTCTACCTCCAAACTCCAAAACCCCATGTGCAGCGGCTGCAACTTCTGGTCCAAACTACATACTGTGAGCTTAGTCACTCATTTGTGTCCAACTCTCTGCAACCCCACAGACTGGAGCCCACCAGGCTCTTCTGTCCATGGGATTTCCCAGGCAAGAATACTGGAGTGGGTTGCCATTTCCTTCTCAGGGGAATCTTCCCAACCCGGGGATTGAACCTGCGTCTCCTTTGTCTCCTGCATTACAAGCAGATTCTTTATCTGCTGAGCCATCAGGAAGCCACTGAGAACCCACAAATGAAGGTCCTCGGATGTGAGGCTGACTCTTGGGGCTCTGCTTGATCTTTCCCATTCTTACCAGCATCAGAAGGCCTAACTGTTTACAAAACGGAGCAAAATGAAATGAAACCAAAGGTATTGAGGGCAAAGAAACAGAGGTTCTGGATTCCTGGGCTGGAGTCAGAATACAAGTTCAAGGCTGGGCCTCCACTCTTGCAAAGGGTCCCCACCATCCGCTCACAGCAGCACCCCGGCGGGACTTTACTGAGATGTAATCCTCACTTGTCACCCTCCTGCCCAAAAGCCTCCAGGGGTGGGGCTTACATGATGCGTGTATATGAAACATCTGTGAGCCTTAGTATCTGCTATATTTCAATTTTTAAAAACTTAAACACACACATACATAGACACCCTCCAGCACTTTTGAGGAAAAAGACCCAACCTCCTTCCCAGGGTCTGCAAAGGTCCCCATAAGCCCACTCCACTTCCTTTCTGAGGAGCCTCATGGGACCTCCCTAGGCGCACTGGCCTTCCCTCTGATCCTCCAAGCGTGTTTCTGCACCGGGGTCCACAGGGCTAGGTCCGCTGCCAGCCCCCTGCTGCAGTTCCTCACCCAGCAGCATCATCTCTCTAGTCTGTCCCTCTGGCGCATTTATCATAGACAGTAAAGCTGTTGTCATTTGCAGTTCCATGAAACTAGGAATTGTTCTGGCCTTGCTCCTCATCTATTTCCCCGCGCACAGCGCGGTTTCTGCTGTACAGAAGGCACTCGGCACTCTTGGTGGGATCACAGTGCCCCCTCTGGCCACGCACCTCTGTTTCTGCATCTCAGAGATGAGCGCCACCTCTGTGGCAGGTCCGTCATCCAGGGATGCTGTGACCACTCATGGGGACAGTCTCCCTCATGTCTAGTTCCCAAGTTAAATAAATAACACATTTGTCCACATAACCAAAAATGCAAAGACTGAGAACCGCCAGTCATTAGCCACCGGTGGGCGGTGGTTGGCGGGGGGGTATCTCTTTTCATCTACCTATTTTCTTGAGGTCCATCCACCTCAGTTCCTTTATCTGATCCTCAAAGGATTTTTATTTTTCAGCCCTGACATCTGAGGGCCTGAACTTGCATTCTGAGACAGTTCCAAGCCGTCCTCCCATGTCCTATGTTATTCCAAGTCACGTTTTACAAATTCTCGACCCCGGAGGGGCTACTTGAGTGTATAAAGAAATGAGATGTCAAAATAGTTTACCTATGATGTTCACCGTACTATCCACTTCAGTTTTTATAGTTGAAGTCAGGACCGCATACTCAGGAGAAAGATCACTTACTCCGTTACTAAGCCCCAAAGGTGACTCAATTGGTTCTTGCTAGGAAGAAGAAAAGAAAAAAGAATTGAGAACACTTCCTTTCCCCTTCCTTCACTTAGTTTAAATTCTTCCCTGTCTGCTTTCTTTTAATGCCAAGGTCAGGTTCGTGTCCCAAGTGCATGTTTTCAATCAGCCTAGAGCTTAAAAAGCACATTTCTGCCTAGAATGTCTTCTATAGCATTCCCTTTTTTTCCCCCTTCTTCCTTGGAGGAGATAACACCACTGCACCTGGCTTGCCTTCCTGAAATGCTTACCTCTGCACCCGACGACCCCTGGGTAAGAAAGCTGCATTACTATCGAGGTAAAGCACCGTGCTGGGGAGACCTCAACTCTTCCTTCTCTGAAGGAGGAGGTGCATGTGAGTCAGCTCCTGGCCTTCTCTCTAAGGGAGGAATCCTGCTGCCTCTTTTATATTTTTGGAGGAAAAGCTCTGCCTCAATTACAAGCCCAAGGACAGGAATTTAGAGCACATGGTGGATGAATTCTTCTCATATGGGGTCTGCCCTGGACCCTAGCCACGTGAGCATCCTGCCCCATGGCGGTGCGGGGGGGGGGGGGGCGTGGTCGGTGACACGGGCCAGACTCCCAGCTGAAGACTCCCCAACTCCGTGAAGGCCAGTGGAGCAGCCCATATCCATGGTGCCTGTTAAATCCTTCCGAGAGTCTACATATTGATTCTAATGCATCTAGGAGAACCAATTCCTCTGCCCAAGCTTGGCTCTCAATTTCTGCTTTACTCAAGTGCACCAGAGCCCTCCAACCTCTGAACACACCAACAGCTCTGGAGAGCCAGTGCTGGGGTACAGACTGACTTTCAGCGGTTTGATGAGAGCGCTTCTCTCCCAGAGGACATTGCACTGGTGTCTATGACAGCAGCAGAATCAGACAAAAAAAGCCACACACAACTACTGGGGAAACCACACTGGAGAGGGGGGTATAAGGGTGGAGAGAACAGAAGACAGGAGCAGATCACGTGAGATGGATATGACTGTGCTTTGAAAAATTTCGCATGCAGAGTGTTCTTATCAATGCATGTGCTGCTTGGACTCAATGACGAATGCCCTGTAAACCTCAGGGAAGCCACAGTCCCATCCAGCAAATTCCCACCATGATATCCATGACTTTGAAGACATCACCTCACTGTATAGCTCAGTTCTTGAAAAAAAAAATCACAAAAGGCAGGGTTGACTAGATGTATGAAACGCTGAACCCAGGAAAGACCTGGGACAGCTCTGTTAGGTAGAATGTTTACCCCCTTTCCCTGTAGCATCTCTTTTACATATTCCAAAGTTTATCCTTTCTGGGAAGAAACTCGCTTGCTTGTGACTTGAGGTGTCACCTTCCCTTGAAAGCTAAACTCTTGACTGTGTACCTGCCTTCCCACCTCAGCCCCCTCACTATGGCTCGGAAAAGCCTGCAGTCTGGCTGCCACTCTACTTGTGGAAGCAAACTCTCAGCTCCTGGAGAGGGTGATGGTGAGACAGTCTGGCTTTGGAGTCACATGAGCCTGGAGTTCAAGTCTTTCACTAGTTACAGGGCTTTAGCCTCTTCAGTGGTCTCTTAGGATGCTGTGGACAGCTATAAACTGAGGACAGTAATAGAACCCACACCATTCCCATGGGGATGATGGGAAGATCAAATAAGATAAATGGCACCTGTCATCTATAATTAAATAAACACTCGCTATTATCCAAGGTCACCGATAAAACTCCACTCTCCCAAATCCAGGCACCTTTCTGCAAGTCTCTTTCCCAAGTCAGCCCCACACCCTGACATCCAACAGGAAGACCTGGAAATCTCCCTTCTTGACAACAAAATCTACCTGATTCTCCACCTTTCTGATGGCACCCTCCTCTCTGGCTTTCTCAACGGCCCCCTTTCTACCCCCACCATCTCCAACAGGCCCCACATGTCATTTTATTCCTCTTCCATCTCTTTGATTTCCCAAAAGAAACTAAGAACATTTTAAGGAATTAAGGAAAGAACTGCTCATTTTCATGGGTCTCTTTTGTTGTCATTTTCCACTCTAGGTTTCTTATAAAAGTAATGAGGCAGTCAGACTTGCATATACTTAAAAACCTAAATTATTCTGATTTCTCAATGTGGAGACGTCAAAGTGTTTCACATGATCTACAGTTTAATTAGTGGCAAGTGAGACTTTTATCACATTACACTTGAGAAAACTATGACTCAGAGACGAAATTAGTTTTCTAAGATCACACTACTTTTTTTTTTCCTAAGATCACACTACTTTTAATGTGAGGAGATACGGGAACTGAACTCAGTCTTTGGTCAGGGAACATGGTCTAATTCCAGTAGTTTCTGTCTTAATAAACCCTTGGATCCTGTAATAATTCCAATGGAGACTGAGACAGAACTACTGCCAACATTGTTCTACTCCCCAGATCCCTGCCTTGAATCCTGCACAACTTCTGTAACAGAACAGAATAGGAAATGGCAACTCACTCCAGTATTCCTGGGAAATCCTATGGACAGAAGAGCCTGGCGAGCTACAATCACTGGGGTCCCAAAGAGTCCGACATGACTGGGCGACTAACCCACCAGCACCACCAATGGAGACTGAGACTACTCTGAACACTGCTTTGCCTCCTCCCATCCCCACATCCAAAATAACCAGCCAATCGATTTCCAAGTCCTCCATGCAAACCTCCTCATTGGTTCTGAAAGGACAAGACAGCAGATTGTCTAGTGAAAAGCATCCAGCACCTCTCTGAAAGGTTTCCATCCAGGGAGCAGAAAAACAGGGATCTTCACTACCTTCAGCTGAAAATTTTGAAATTATTAGAATAGGAAGATCTAAAACTAAACTATGATTTTTTTTTTAAAGGCAAGAGCCCAAATTAAGAAAATAGGTGAACGTTTCTCTATAGAACAAGTATACAGAGATCCTTCAGGTCACGAATGGCCTCTGCCCACAGCATCTCCTGGTCCTCTGTGATGCTCACTCTTGCCTTTTGCCACACCTGGCTGTACCATAACCTGGCCCGCTGAGTCCTAAGCCAACCTGTCTCCTCCTTCTGCCCTAACATCTCTCCATGAGGCCTGAAAACCCAGGGCTGCTCTTGGATCCACACCTATCTTCATACTCAGCATCCTCTTCCAGAGAAATGTCTCCTCTCCATTCCAACCACTATTCTCATCTAAACTGTCTACTGCAGTCTCTCTTCTGTGACTGCTTCCCATCACCATGAGAAAGACCCCCTTTAAATATCAAGTCCACCACACTCCAAGTCCTTCCCAAGGAGTTCAACTGTGCCTTACGCCACAAAAGCATCCACGGAGGTTAGTCAGCCAACCAGTTTTGCAGTTGTGCTCTGAGCAGTCCCTTCAAGAGCTTCCAGGAGGAGAGGGAGGCAGCAGGGTTGGCTGGGAGAGCCCTTCACTTGTTCCCTGCTTCCAGAGCAGTTCTGATTCCATCTGTTGAAAGTTCAGGTGGGTTGCTTGCATGGGTTTTCAGTTCATTAAGGTTTAAAAACTGAAGGTCCCTTGCAACCCATGAAAAGTTCACTCCAGTATCATCCCTGACAGGTAGTCTTCTGTGGACAGCAACAGGGAGCATATTGTTTGGCAAGCCAGCTCAAGTCACTGTTAGATCCAAGAGCTCTATCAGAAAAATCTGCTGACTTCTCTGGCAGTCCAGTGGTTAAGACTTCACACCTCCAATGCAGGGAGCGCAGGTTCAATCCCTGATGGGGGAACTAAGATCCAGCATGCTGTGCAAGGTAGCCAAAAAAAAAAAAAAATCTGCTGAGCCAATACCTGCTTTTCTGTAACTCCCATCCAGAGGTCTGCACTCAGAACTAACAAAGACCAGACCCGCTCTTTACCAAGTGATGGTGCAGGCTGTCCTTGATTATATTTTCTGTAAGAGTACCAATTCTTTGATTTGGAAGCAGTCTACAGTTTGTAAGTATTCATTTCTAATCCATCCAACCTACACGCCTTCTTTTCCCCATGTGCCCTCACTCAGGCTCCTGCTCTAATGAAGCTGGAAAGTTTCCTGACTTCTCATTTCTGACTCTTTTCAACCCCATGGACTGTAACCCGCCAGGCTCCTCTGTCCTGGAATCTTCCAGGCAAGAACACTGGAGTGGGTTGCCATTCCCTTCTCCAGGGGATCTTCCCCACCCAGGTATCAAACCCAGGTCTTCTGCATTGCAGGCAGATTCTTTACCATCTGAGCCACCAGGGAAGCCCCACCCAACGAAGATCAAACAGCAAGTCTGACCTCCAGACCTTCACATATCATGCTCCTGGTGGTGATGTCCACCAATTTACTGCTGCGTCCCCCAAGGCCTGGCTTGGAGCCCACGGCTTCCAAGAGGCCGAGAGGCACTGAGGGAGGTGATGGGGCACAGGTTCTGGAGTTGGACTCACCTGGAATCAAATCCCAACTCTATAAGGCAGTGCAACTCTGGGAAAATCACTCAACATCTCTGTGCCTCCACTGTTGCTGAGGCAAAAGGGAGACAACCTGCCCATCATGAGAAGGACGAAGTAGGTAATAATTGAAGCTGAGAGCATGGCAGGAGCTCCAGAATGTCAGCTACACCCCTCTGTTTTATCCATTTCTATCCTTACTGATCGTGGCCTTGGGATATTTTCTGAAACACAGATGTGCTCTGATGACGTGCCATCTAGTGCTGCTCTCTACTATGCTTCTTATTCGAATATTTCCTTAGACAGCCAGTTACCGCCACACAGGCAGGGCTCAGTTCAAGTAAAAGATGGCTCACTTAGTAAACAGCATATACTCCAACAACAGGGGGATATGGAGGCTCCAACATCAGGGGATATGGAGGCAGCATTTCTGCACATATTACGTGGTCACTGGGCCTTGGGTCTCCCAGTTTCCGGGAAGCTATTTCCCGAGGAAACAAAGAGCATGGAGACAACAGACTGCGTAAATGGCCCAAGAAATATCCTAAGAGTGGGCCAGCATGCTCTGAATATTCTTTCCTAGTTAAAACTTTAACTCAATCAACTATACTGCAATGAAAAAAAATAATTAAAAGAATAGTATTTATTCAGGTATGTTTAAAAAAAAAAAAAAGAAAAAAACTTCAACTTTAATTGAAGGAAGACTGGAAAGAGCTTGTTTTAACAGCAAATTTTCATCCCTAGTTACGACATGCTCCTGCCTAGTCATCCAGTCACGTCTGACTCTTTGTGACCCCATGGACCATGCCAGGCTCTTTTGTCCATGAGACTTCCCAGGCAAGAATACTAGAGTGGGTTGCCATTTCCTTCTCCAAGGGATCCTCCCGACCCAGGGATCCAACCCACATCTCCTGCATTAGCCGGCAGATACTAATCCACCAGGGAAGTATACGTATAAGACAAACTTTCTCTGTAGAAGAAACCTACCTAGTCTATTCAGTTGCATATATGCATAGGACTATGAACTCAGATCTTAGGAGTTTTGACAAACAATAAAAAGTAATGTATGAACATCTCAGTAAAATCCTTTACCCAATTCCAGACAACCTGGGGAATGAACTTTGAACCGCTCTACAGAAACATTCAATGAACACTATGCAGCCATGAGCCACAGCACTTGGGAAAGCCTACCAGCCTCCTCCATGTTCCCAGACAGATGCAAGGGGATTTATATTCAAAAGTTAAGTTGTGTTTACTTCCGACGAATCGCCTACCTTCTGCTGAAGGAACAATGACTCTCTGAGGGACACATTTCAGGTACTAAGCAAGCCTACATCATAGCAGGATTTCACACTGTGCCCTCTCCTGGGATGGAATTAATACACATGGCTGCACCTACGAGGAAAGCTCTGACTTGCTCCGCTGTGTCAATGTGGGGCCTGGCCACATGGGAGACGTCATTGGTGACGGGGCTGCAGATGACCTTTACTGCCGAGAACACCACGTGCCATCAATTTTCACATTGACGGAATTGTGAGGGGCACATTCCTCACGTTTCCCTACCCCTGAAGTAAGACATGCCTTCTGGTCAATTATATGTGTCAGGATTTCACTGCAAGCAGTTTTCCTTGCTTAGAGATAAAAAAAAAATAACGGTACATCTTACAATCCTTGGTACCTAATAGTCATTGCTTCTGGTGGATATGTCTGAGCAAAGTCAGCTGAAAAGTGAGCATTTGTTACTCCATTTTTATTTCTCCATTAACCGAGATTATGAAATTTAATCTGCATTCTAACCCTCCACTCTCTCCCCATATATTTATTTATGCATCTACTTGGTCAACAAATACTCATCGATCTATGCAGTGATCAAATATGTATTAACTATCTGTTTTGTACCAGTGACTAAGCTAGATGCTGTGAAAATATTAATAGCAGTAAATATGATAGAGTTGTACTTAAGACTCTAAGTTGTATTTAAGTTGTACTTAAGAGGATTCTTCAAAATCACATATTTGTGGAAGTTACGCTTTTCTGACTAAACAAGAATAATCAGAATGTAGGCCCTAAAAAAAATCCAAAAAGTGGGAAATTTGATACAACGAACAAGATTTTTTCAACTGCAAGAAAAAAATAATTTTTTGAAAGTAATCTAGTGGAAACCCATAGCTTAAAAAGACTTGAGACATATACAAAAATTACAACATGTGAACTTCATATGATTTTGATTCAAGTGATCAGACTGTATAAAAACTATGAAACTTATGAGACAAATTAGAAATTTTTAGCACTGACCGGATGGATATTTGGTGATATTGAAGAACCACTATTAATTTTGTCAGATGTAATAATGATTCTGGATTACTTTTAAAGAGCATTTATCTTTTAAAGATATTTATTGAAGTAGTTGTGAAAGAAATGATGTTTGGAATCTGCTTTAAAATACTGGGCTGAACCATATGAAATTATTTTTGCAAGTCAAAAATGGTTGAGTATCTGCAATTTCACACATATAGGGAAGTGGACAGAGGTACTAATGTAATAAAATGGCCATGAGCTGATTGATGTTGAAAGCGGGGTGACGGTCTATGAAGTACATTTGACTCACTTGCTTCCTTCCTGTGTGTATAAAATTTTTCCATAATAAAAAGTTAAAATAAGGCCTCTACTGTGCTATATTTAAAGTAAGTCACCAACTAAAAATACTGAAAGTGGAAACTAGAGGTCTCACTGCTGAAACACTCTAGCTAAAATGTTTCTTTTCCATTGTAGAAGTAAATGTGTCTGAAATTTTAACAATTTATCTAAGTTTTCTCCTCTAACTACCTTCTCAAGTCAAACTGAAGTATACTTTTTGTGTGTGTTTTCCTGATTATTCTGACTCAGTGGTTTGCTTTTAAACATTGTGCTGTCTAGATAATTTGGATTTTCCTTCAACAGTTTTTCTGGAGTAGAAATCAGAGTACTTGGCATCACTTATAAGTTCAGTTCTAAGTTACCATGTGAACTTGGCCACATATCCCGCTGCCCTTGGGCCCGTGTCACTCAACCCTCTCACGCTACCCATCTCCGCATCTGCAAAGAGGGTGTGCTGAAGCAGACCATCGTCTCTACAGGCCCCGACTGTAGAGTCTGATCTTTGCTTAGCAACTGAAGCTCATCTTCAGTTTCTCATGGGATACTTGGCGATTCTCTGGCCTTTGAACAAGGGCCACCCAATCAACACACAAAAGACCCTCACAGGGTAGGGGGTTTCAGACTACACAACCGAAGGAAAAGCTCACACACACACACACATCCCTACGGAAGACCTTTGGGAGTTATGAAAGCTAGCTCGATATTGAGATCCACACAAATACAGGGCTTGAACAGACCACACACTAATAGTCTGTCAAGGGAAAATATATATATATATACATAGACACACATAAATAGATATACACACATATATATGTGTGTGTGTGTGTGTGTGCATGCGTGTTCGGTCACTCAGTCACATCCAATTCTTTTGCAACCCTGTGGATTGTAGCCTGCCAGGCTCGAGGGGCCTGGTGGGCTACTGTTCACGGGGTCACAAAGTGTCGGACATGACTGAGTGACTAAGCACACACATATATAATGCACATACATATATAAATGTAGGTATTTAACATAAGTTTATAATACCTAATATAATTTAAAATATATTTAATGGCCTGAAAATATACTTGATATCATCAGATAGTAGCGGGTAGCTGGAGCTTAGCTGGAGCTAAGTGACCAGCTGGCAAGAGTTGTGGGGGCCAGATGGAGGCCTGAGACTGCCAGGCTCAGCGTGGATTTGTGAGTTCATTCATAAATCGCTCAGGGAAATTGGATGAAGCCGGGGAGGTGTGTGTACCTGGGCCTACAAGCGGGCACATGCCAAAGAGGAGACATGAAAAGCGCAGAAATCACAACAGCAAAGGAAGCAAGATGAAATACTTCACAGAGACCACATCGCTTGTTTTCAAGAGACAGACTATGAATCACTAGTATGATCACAACTTTGGCCTCCTCTCTGCACAAAGATTACCTTGATGTGCTTCACTCTGTCTTCTTTTTCTGTCTTTGGTTTCTTTCCTGTGGCAACAAAAACAGTTCGAGATTAATCCCAGAAGAACGGACAGACATTTCCCCTATGTTAAATTCTTTCTGAAACTCTCGGTGCATTTATTGCTGTAATCTGTAGATGGTCAAGATCCCAGACGTTTCTGTTCCTTTCTTTGGGGGCCCTGAGAGTCATTTTACCCAGCCAAGTAAGGGCTGAATTAACATCCACAATGGGAACAAGGGTTGTATCCTTGCTGTGGCTACTATTGTGGAAATCAAGAAATCACAAAGGCGCTATTTAAGCAACGGTTGTTTTAGCCAGTAAATATCTTTATCTACCTTTCTTAGAAGGTCGCTCAGACATGGGCAGCATCCGGTAGACTCTGAAGGCATTGTTTCCTTTCTTTATGCTTTTGTCTTTGACTTCCTCGATGTCAGGCAAGGAGTTCATGGCACATCGGAAATTTGCCTTCCACGTTTTCGGGTCGGGTTTATCTATTCCTGGTTGATGCTTTCCTAACAAAATAGTCGAAAGAATTAAGGTTAAGAAAAAAAAGAAAAAGAGAGGGAAAATTATTTCCAGAGTAAAAGTTTCTGGAAACAGGATTGCTGGCGGGTTGTAGAGAGAATGCTTTTCATTCCAGGCCACGCCTACAGTGAACAAATGTCCTGGTTTGTTCCAAGCTGAGAAGGTTCTTGGGATGTGGGAATTTTAGTTTTAAAACCCAACAGTTCCAGGGCAAACTGGGACAGACTGGTCACCCTGGGTCTACAAAATAGACTGAGAGGAAATAAGGGTAGAAATCAAAGTGGAAAATCAAGGTAAGGAAAAGAAAAAGCTAGGAGGCCAGGAAGGTTTCTTTGGTGGCTCAGCTGGTAAAGAATCTGCCTGCAATGTGGGAGACCTTGGTTCAATCCCTGGTTGGGAAGATCCCCTGGAGAAGGGAACGGCTACCCACTCCAGTATTCTGGCCTGGAGAATTCCATGGACTGTATAGTCCACCGGGTCGCAAAGAATCAGACACGACTGAGTGACTTTCACTTCACTTCACTTCAGGAGGCCAGGAGACCAACAAGCAGGGGTCACTGGAAGGTCTCTTTTACAACCGACTCTCAAATAAACAGCTCCCTGGTTAAATTATATTATAAATAAATAGCTACATAAATAAACAGTAAATAAATAATAAAAAATAAATAGCTAAATAGTAAGTAATAAAAAATAAACAGCTAAATAAATAAATAGCAAGTAATAAGAAATACATAGCTAAATAAATAGTAAAAGAAACAGCTCTCTAGTTAAATTTTATTATAAATAAATATAATCTCGACTACCTTTGGGGGAGATAATTCGACCAAGGTTTGCAGCTCCAGAACAAATCAGTTCTACATTCCCCTGATACACACCTGGGGAACTTCATCAGAAAACCACATTTATATGGCTGAGTTCATTCATTGTTCACCTGAAACTGCCACAACATTGTTAATCTGATATACCCCAATAAACAATGTGAGTTCATTCATTGTTCACCTGAAACTGCCGCAACATTGTTAATCGGATATACCCCAATAAACAATGTTTTTGGTGTTAAAAAATTTTTAAAAAAAGAGAACCACATGTCCAGGAAATTTAAAGACTCAGTTTCTATGGAATGGGTAGAGCATCACTTCTGAGTGATGAAGTCTATACTTCACATGTCCTGGATGTGTCTGGAGATAAGTCACAGGTTTATCAGCACTATCTTCATGAAACCATAAGCCACAGCATTCATACATGCAGTAAAAATAAAAAGAAACAATAGCTAACAGTCTATCATATAACTGATATTTGCCAAGAGAGTAGAACGTAAATATTCTCAACCAAAAAACAAAGTACACTTTAAATACCTTGCAATTTAATTTGTCAGTTGTATCTTGATTTTTAAAAAGCATGAAACCAACCAAAAAAAGCAACAGTGCCGGCCTCTGGAGCTGATGCGGGATTCATACCTGTATGGATGGCCCAGTTTCTGAAGAGGGGTGCATCTTTTTCCACATCCCACCCATGTCTAGCAGCATGCATCCAGGGGATCTGAAAAATCTTCTTTTCCTAAAAAAACAAATAATAATAATAAGAAGAAGAACTGCAGCCAAGGGTTTCAGGCCATCATTGCAGAGGGTTCTAGCTAGTTTTAGCTAGTAAGACTCCCATTAAGTAAAAATCACTGGGTTTGCTGAATATCTATGGTAAACCAAACCCATTTCCTCACTATGACCCAAAGCTTGACAGTCTACCAGGTGAGATTGAGAGGCAGGTGGAGTCTGTTAGGCTAGAAATAAATTTCAAGGTCAAAAGTGATGATCTGGGAAATGCCAATGTGTTTCATTATCTGTGCCTCCTTTTTTACAGGACCACAGGTAACTGGCCACTGACTGAAACATCTATAGCTTAGGATTTATTTCTGTCACTTGGTAAAGAGGAACTCCAGCTGTCTTAGGTAAATTAAACATCAGGCAACTCTAGCATGGAAACATGTACACGAACATATGTAAAACAGACAGCCAGTGGGAATTTGAGGCATGACGCAGGGAGCTCAACCTGGGGCTCTGGGAGAAACTAGAGGGGTGGGATGGGCTGGGAGGTGGGAGGTAGGCTCAAGAGGGAGGAGACATGTGTATATACCTATGGCTGATCCATGCTGATGTATGGTAGAAACCAACCCAATATTGTGATTATCCTTCAATTACAAATAAAGATATTTTTAAAAATTAGGCAACTCTCCAAAGCAACACTCATTTCACTGCTAAAGGGAAGTTTGGGTGTCTGAGGCCATGGTCAGAGACTGAGTATCTCAATCTGCTCATGAAGCCAACAGAAATGAAAGATTTTGTTTTATGGACTTCCCTGGCGGTCCAAGGGTTCAGTTCAGCTCAGTCGCTCAGTCGTGTCCGACTCTTTGCAACCCCATGGACCGCAGCACACCAGGCCTCCCTGTCCATCACCGACTCCTGGAGTTTACTCAAACTCAGGTTCAGGGGTTAGGACTCGGCGTTTTCATTGCAGGTGGGTGCGGGGACGGCACAGGTTTGATTCCTGGCTGGGGAAATAAAGATCCCGCATGCCAGATGGCGTGGCCAAAAATACATAAATATAATAAAACAAAATAGAGAAGTTAAAAAAAAAATCAAAAAGATTTTGTTCTAATCCCTATGTGTCTACTACCTGACCTGAGGAGAAAGCAACAAATATAAACAAAGATGTACCAGTTATATGAGGATGATACTCCTTTCTGAAGAAAAGTCCCTTAAGTACAGTTCTTGTCATAGAAGACCTTCTCCATCTCTCTTACATCCCAACTCAAAACTGCTTAAATCACCCCTGGCAAGCACATGACTAGAAACTAGTGCTTTGGAACCAAAACAGTAAAACTGCTTATGTGAAACCCAGTTCCCTTTGAATGTTCACACACTCTCAGTTTTGGTTCTTCCAAGACCCAAAGGAGCTGGGTACATGTTACTATTTCCGCTTTACACTTAAGGAAACTGAGGAACAGGTTTAAATTATCTATTTAAGGAACTCACGGTAATATTAGTAAATAACCAAAGTCAAAACCTAGGTCATGTGACCCCATATTCAATCACTGACTCACACTGCCAGTTGTCTCCCAGGGTTTAGATTTACGTTTCCTGACCTACAACAGATCCGCTGACTTGGATTCCATGGAGATTAAAGACTAAGAAAACTGTATTTTTTAAAACCTCTCAAGGTAGGTCTGATCATTTCTAGGGATGGGGAAAAAAAATCTCTGCACAATACACCGGAGCAGGAAAGTAAATGTCAGGAGGGATTTTCCACCACTTTGGTTTCACACAATGAAAGATACAAATGGGCCCCGCCAACCCAAAAGGGACCTGGTGCCTCCCCACAGAACCAGTCACAAAGCCGGAACTAAAAATATGTCAGAACATTTGAGGGTTCCCCAGAACTGTTAGAGGGGAAAATTCCACGTATATAAAACATAGTCAATAAAGAAGAACTGAAAGTGAGAGGTTTTTCATAAAACCCTCCGTGTTCACGCTGTATCATCCACTGAGAGAGGGCAGGGTTTCAGGTTGGCCAGTTTCAAAAGGACAGTGATCTGAAGAGGGTTGAGTGAAACTTTATTTTTTACAGTCGATGAATATCAGAGCGCAAAATCACTCAGTGCAGTTTTTAACATTCCCAGGGAAAAAAAAAAAAAGCCCATAAATTTATCTCTGAAAGAACTTTTCCTGAAGTACACAACCAGAATCTAAAGGTTTATGCTTAAAGATACAGACCCTTAAAGAATCAGACTCTTGTACTTTTTTCTAGATCAAAGGAGATCTGGGGTGACACAATCTGACATCAATCTCCTGAGACACAAAATTGATTCTGATAAGTAGATCTTTTCAAGCGTGTGTGTGCACACAAGCACACACAACTTAGTGATTCAACAACAAACATACACACACACACCTCCAAACCTAGTCTCCCAGAAATGATGCCCAAATCATGAAACCATGAAAGTAATGACCGAACCTAGCAATCATCCACTCCAGTGTTCTTGCCTGGAGAATCCCAGGGACGGGGGGAGCCTGGTGGGCTGCTGTCTATGGGGTCGCAGAGTTGGACACGACTGAAGTGACTTAGCAGCAGCAGCAGCAGCAGCAATCATCCACCATGAATCCCCTTGAAATGGGCAAAGGACCTGAACAGACATTTTCCCAGGGGGGCTGCACACACCGTGTATGGAAGGACTGAACCCAGCAGCAGAGTCCACTTGTACTTCCACATGTAGAGACCTCTGCCCACCTGTAGGCAGGAGAGATAAGCCCAGCTCAAGTTGAGAAAAACATCTGAGATAATTTTGAGCAATGCAGAACAAACGTACTTTGGCCCCAAGCGGAATCCAGCCTTCTTATCTCCCACGGCCGCTTCACTCCCCCAATATTTATAAGATGTTCCAATGCCGCTCGCTATTTTTGTTTGGACTTCTCACTGTGTTCTGAGATGGCCTGATATTTACACAAGTACAAGCCTGCTTTCAAAGTGCAGAGCAGGAAAAGGTCGGAATTACCCGATGACCTCCAGGTCTCAGGGAGGGGGCCTTGGCGCCTGGGTCCAGGCAGACTGCTGGGGAGAAACAGGAACCTCAATAATCAGGGTGGGAATCAATCGAAGTGATGAGAACAGTGAACCTGGATGCTGCCTCCTTCCTTCCTCAAGAAACAGCCCAGGAAAACCACAAAATCAAGCATGAGGACAAATCCAGAACAGACCTGGTCTCTTCCACAAGCCAATGGAGAGGCGGCCAAAAGGGAGTGGGCACTGCTCACAGTCAGGAACCAAATACAACCTGGGGGTCTGCTGTGGCTTCTGATGGAACAAATAAATCCTAGAAAGATATCTGGGGAATAGTCAAGGTATTCTGAATAGGACGGGGCAGTAATGACATTTTAAATGATGGCTAATTATGATTAATTTACGATTATCCAATTGGTAATGGTATTGTGAATCCATAAGAAAATGTTCTTGGGTCTTACAGATATACCCAGTCAGGGAGTTGCTTTAATCACCTCCCAACACAGATTTCTTAACTCTTAATAGTTGTTCAATCTAGATGTGAGTTTTAAATCTAGAAGGGAATTTGCTGCACTATTCTTTCTAGTCGTTAGATCATTCAAGCATACTATGTATATTTGCAAATACTCATAATAAACTGGCCCAAGCCACCGCCACTTTCAGGAGCTAGGTACAGTGCTGCTATGTGAACCTCCTCATCGCTCCTCCAGAGGAATCCAGAGCACCTGTTCCATCAGCCCCCACCCCCTCATGTGTTGGAAGCAGGAGATGCAAACAAATTCAAGGCATTAATTAGCCACCTATTTTTCTTCCCTGGTGGCTCAGTGGTAAAGAATCTGCCTGTTAAGCAGGAGATGCAGGTTCGATCCCTGGGTCAGAAGATCCCTGGCAGAAGGGAATGGCAACCCACTTCAGTATTCTTGCCTGGAGAATCCCATGGACAGAGGAGACTGGTGAGCTCCAGTCCATGGGGTTGCAAAGAGTCGGACACGACTGAGCGACAGACTTTCATTCACTTCCCCACCCCTTCATGTATTGGAAGCAGATGGAAACAAATTTAAGGCATTAATCGACCACCTATTTATCTCTTACTAGGAATGCACTGGGTATGATGGAGTCTCCGTTTGAGAGCGATGTGACGTTGCCAACCCAGTGTTCTTGAGTCTAATTATCTTAACAGAACAAAAACAGGGTCACCAGTGTTCCTCCCCTTCAAGTAGTCCCATCCTTCATCCATTCATTCTCAGCACAATGTTACCTAGAGCCTTCAGCGTGTCAGGCCTGGCACTGAGCTCTCAGCTATGGTCAAGACAGCCCTGGTACGTGGCCAGCCTGGAGTGCCTCCCCGTGAGCATCGGGAACAACAAACCCCCGAGGACAGCACAGCTTTTCTAAGAGTCACGACAGGCTTCAGCGGAAGAGAATTTGGGATGACCTCAAACCACTCAAAATACAAGTAGGGATTCTTGGGCTTATGAATGGGCAGGGAATAACAGTAGGGTCTGAGTGAAATATTTATGCAGACAGACGAATGCCAGGGAGCCTAAGTTAGCAGAAACCTATAAATAGATGCCCTGGGGAGGTGTGGGTACAGACAGGAAACGCCCCGAGGCCACCCAACATGTGCAGTGACTGCAGCTAGAGGGCGTTTCCGACAACACTGGGCCCTCAGGCCGCCCAGGAGCTGCGGGCACAGCATCGTCCTGGGAGGTGCCATCTGCCGCAGCCGCTGCCCCCTCTCTGTCCTTCAGCCTCACCCACGCCCAGCCCAGCAGACGACAAGGTGGTGGAGGTCTCCTGTCCTGCACCAGGGAAAGCACTCAGGAGCCAAGAGCCAGGTGAGTAAGGCTCCACACGATGGATTGCCTGAGAGGCCCTAAGTGTTCAGCTGCACCAAGAAGAACCCATTCACTTTCTGGTCCTCTTTAGAGCCCACTGTACTGCAAGGAGATCAAACCGGTCAATCCTGAAGGAAATCAACCCTGCCAATTCACTGGAAGGGCTGATGCTGAAGCTGAAGCTCCAATCCTTTGGCCACCTGATGCGAAGAGCCAACTCACTGGAAAAGACCCTGATGCTGGGAAAGACTGCAGGCAGGAGAAGGGGATGACAGAGGATGAAATGGTTGGATGGCTTCGCCGACTCAATGGATCTGAATTTGAACAAACTCTGGGAGATGGTGGAGGACAGAGGAGCCTGGTGCACTGCAGTCCAAGGGTTCGAAAAGAGTCGGACACAACTTGGCAACTGAACAGCAAAATCCAAAGTACACAGACAGAGGAGTTGGAGGAAAAGGTATCTCGGTGGACAGCCCTGGTGAAGAAGTAGCTCTGAGATGGGGTGTACACTTCCTTGGACTGTCATCACAAACTGCCATCCACTGAATGGCTTAGCACCACAGAAATGGATCCTATCATTTTTCTGGAGGCCAGAAATCCAAAATCGCAACATCAGCAGGGCAGTATTCCCTCCAAAGGCTCTAAGCAGGATCCTCCTTGCCTCTTCTGGCTTCCAGTGGGTCCAGGTGTTCTTGGCTTATGGCTGCAGCACTCTAGTCCCCACCTCCTTCTCCACGTGGCCTTTACCTCTGTGGATGTGTCTCCTCGTCTGTGTCTTTTTTTTATTTTTATGCAGACCATTATTTTAAAGTCTTCACTGAATCTGTTACAATATTGCTTCTGTTCTACCTTTTGGTTTCTTGGCTGCTAGGCATGTGAGCTCTTGGCTCCCTAACCAGGGATTGAACCTGCACCCCCTGCATTGGAAGGGGAATTGTCTTAACCACTGGAATGCCAGAGAAGTCCCTCTTCTGTGTCTTATAAGGACCCTTGTCACTGGATCAGCCCACCAGATAATCCAGGAGGATCTCATCTCGACATCCTTAAGTTAAGTACATCAGCCAAGACCCTTTCTCCAAATAAGGCCACAACCACAAGTTCTGGGGGTTAGGATGTGGACATATCTTTGAGGAGGTTACCATTCAACCTACTACAGACAACAACAAACTGCAGTGTATTCAGAGTCCACTTGCAGGAGACATGGTGACGTTCGAAGCAAGCCACAGTGTCAAGCTAGCCAAACGGTGGGTGGGTTTTGAAAAGGAAAAAGCGAAGGCAAACAACTGACTTCTCTTCAGAAATCAGGAACATCTGCTTTAATTTCACATCCTAAATCAATATAGGCAATAGTACCAGTTCTTCAAAATATAATCCTCCTAAACCTACGAGCCTTGGTTTCCTTGTCTGCAAAATGACAAAAGAATCTAGCTGATGACTTGTTAAAACTCAACATTCATAAAACTAAGATCATGGCATCTGGTCCCATCACTTCATGGCAAATGGATGTGGAAACAGTGCAAACAGTGACTTTATTTTTGGGGGTTCCAAAATCACTGAAGATGGTGACTGCAGCCATGAAATTAAAAGACGCTTGCTCTTGGGAAGAAAAGTTATGACCAACCTAGACAGTTTATTAAAAAGCAGAGACATTACTTTGCCAACAAAGGTCTGTCTAGTCAATAGTCATGTATGGATTTGAGAGTTGGACTATAAAGAAAGCTGAGCACTGAAGAACTAATGCTTTTGAACTGTGGTGTTGGAGAAGACTCTTAAGAGTCCCTTGGACAGCAAGGAGATCCAACCACTCCATCCTAAAGGAAATCAGTCCTGAATTTTCATTGGAAGGACTGATGCTGAAGCTGAAACTCCATTACTTTGGCCACTGGATGCGAAGAACTGACTCATCTGAAAAGACCCTGATGCTGGGAAAGATTGAAGGCAGGAGGAGAAGGGGACAACAGAGGATGAGATGGTTGGATGGCATCACCGACTCTGTGGACATGAGTTTGAGTAAACTCTAGGAGTTGGTGATGGACAGGGAGGCCTGGCGTGCTGCAGTCCATGAGGTCGCAAAGAGTTGGACATGACTAAGCGACTGAACTGAACTGATGACTTGCTTCTTTGGAAGAGGCTAATTACAAAGCCCCTCCAGGATACAAACCTAAAACACTACAGACACAGCAAGGCTGGAAAAGTATATTGTTTGCCCTAAGACCTTAAAATATAGGACAGGTCATTTGAAGTGAGCATATGCTTTACTTAAAATATTTCTGTTTACTTCTATGCCATCTTGTTTCAGAAGGGACTCATTTAAATCGACCCATTCAAATCCAATACACCATTACATTTAAAATAAATGAAAAAAATAGGTAAACAAGGAAGAAGAAAAAAAAGAAATAAGATTGAGAGATATCTGAGAAGATAAAAATGAAGTAAGGAGTAATATTCATACAAAAATTATGCTGCAATATTCTGTACACTTGTTAGGAGCGGCCACAATCTGGCTGTCAGCTCTCCACACGTGATGCAAAGGTAAAGCCTGACCCGCTAAATTATTCATCGTGTCCTTAAGATTAAAAACACGGGGAGGTAGAAGAGGAAAAAGACACTTGCTCAGAAGAACCGTAATACTCCTGGTAGTGGGAGAGAAATCTCTCTTGGGCTGTCTTAAAGAAAGCATGATGTAGTCATTGCTTTTCTAGATTATAACTGAATGTTTCCAGGCGTTCTTTATTTTTACATCCAGTGGCTTCCTGATTCATCCCCTAAGAGTCAGGATCAACTAAACTGAGAGTTTAGAGGTTGATAAAAGTAAGAAAGTATTTATGTACATATGTGGGAGGGGGTTGTAAATGACAGAATACTGCTTTTTTCGGACAGGTAGGCACATAAACAGGGTTTCATAATAAAGTAAAAGCATTTTTTTTTAAGACAAAAACAAAAGTTTTCTTTACGTAGAGAATTCTGGAAAGAAAATCAATATGCTCCTTCCCCAATAGAAAGCCCTAGAGTTTCCATGTCCTCCAACCCTAGAAAACCAGAAGCAAGAAAGAATATTCAGAGATGGAGAAGGGTAAGAAGCACTTAATAGAAATACAGTGAGACACTTCCCACAACAGTCATACATGAGACCAGAGCCTTAACTCGGGGTTGAGGCTACAGTCTGAAGTGATGATAAATCTTCTTTTTATGATTCTTTGATATTTTCATAATCATTTTTGCTTGGTTGGCTTTTGTAATAAATCAGCATAATATTTTGAAAACAAAGAACAACTTTACTTGCAGCAGTCCACACACAGCTGCTTTTAGTAGGGATCTCTCTCACATAGACACATGCACTCACATACATACATGTACACACACACACACATGCACACACTTACCTTGCTAAGCCACTTCAGCCCTGGTATCATATTTGAGTTGATCTGTTCTTCCAGCCACGGGCGCATACGCATCCTTTCCACCGGCATGGTGTCCTTCTGCAGAAGAGCAAACACAACATCAGGCATTTCTGCTGCTCACTGTCATGTCCGCAGATGGGGTCTGACACCATGCCTGACCGACTGTATGTTCCTCTTCCTCAAAATCACACAGCTTATGTGTACCCTGGGGCCGCGGGGCTATGAGAGCATATTAGGGGCTTTGCCCTGGAGCATCCTGCCCCACTCATGCCCGAGGGGCTGTCTCCGTGGGGCGATGGTGAGTGAGGACCACATCTGCTCTCAGCTAACAGGATCCCATGATGCAGAAACTGCAGCCAGAGGGCTTGGATACCTAACGCTGGGTTTTGCGCTTGCGTGCTCCGTTGCCGCCAATTTTTTGTAACCCTATGGACTGTAGCCCGCCAGGATCCTCCATCCATGGGATTATCCAGGCGAGAATACTGCAGTGGGTTGTTAACTTCCTCCTCCAGGGTATCTTCCTAACCAGGGATCAAACTCGCATCTCCTGTGTGTCTGGCATCGGCAGGCAGATTCTTTACCACTGTACCACCTGGGAAACCCTAAGGCTGGGTCTTACCCCCTCCCAACCTGGCTGTGTTTATGGCAGATACCTTCTGTGTATCAGGTACCCAGAGGAGCAGTGTTTTACAAGTACCCTTGGGCATCACCTTTTTAAGAGCCAAGGGTGGACACAGTAGCTTTGGGGGATCTGAGTTATTGACAAGCTTCAATATCCCGACAGGCACGTATGGGCAAGGTCTTAAGGTATCAGTTCATTTGGCTCCAAGGTCTTTTACCAATTAGCCATCCCCTCCTGATGTAGCCTGTCTCCCTGCAGAGCACACCAGCCTCCTGCTCTGGCTTCAGCATCACTTTTATGTGAAAGCATCTTTTATTCATTGTGCTCCCTTAAGGATCTTTCTTCACTGTCACCCACCCCCTCTGACCTGGGGTCACCTTTCCTCCACCAGCCCACAAAACACCTCCCTGCTGCTCCTTCCAGATGCATTTCTACACAGTCTATCCCTCGCCCACCTAAATATACCCAGAGCGGGATCACTCATTCATCTTCAGCCTATTTACACACAAGTTTGCATTCGATGCAAAGCAGACAATGGCAACCAAGCCTCCAGTTCCACAGGACTTCATGGACAGTGGGACATGACTCTCTTTTTAATCCTTGGCTGCCTCACCTATCCTTGGTTCATTTTCTCCTCCAGAAATGAGCTCTGGATATTCTGTTCCGATGACTTCGGGCTGGGATGATCACAGTCTCAGTAACGCTCTCTTCCAGCTCGCAGAGGACTTCCTGTCTCCTCTGTGCCCAGCCCGCAGCTTGCACCAGAGGGCAAGCATCACTATGAGCCACCTGGCGCTGCACTCTCTGCCCGTAAAGCCTATTTCGACTCTAGAATTAAGCCTAGCCCTTGCCTTTCCCTTGGACCTTTCCCCTACTTCTGACCCACTCACTGTCACAGACACCGCCTCCTCCTTGCTCCTCTTTCCCGGCCTCGCCAATCCCAAGCCATTCTCCAAGACCCAGTCTCCGCCCTCCTCCCCACAAGGCCTCCCAGACACGCCAGCTGCAGGAGTCCCTCCTCCTCCACGTCCCACAATGCCCACGATCTTGTACTGCTCGTCGGAAAATCAAACATTGCTATAGGGCAGCTATTCAAAGGTTGTGTTTATTCTTACTAACTCTTACCTTTTTAAACGGAAACTTCTCAGCTGTGCCCACCCTCTCCTCCTATCCAAAGAGTAAATTCACTGAGAGCAGGAACTTCAGCCCTTATAGGTCTTTGGATAATCCTACAAAACCTAAATGCATCCACAAGAGAGGTGGAATACAAGAACCAGTTCTGCAGGTCAGCCAAGATGGGGTCACCACGGCAGGCTGGCCCTGTCCACTCATCTGGTGGCCTCAGGAGTGACAGGAACTGCAGGGACACCCCAAAAAGGTGTGGAACAGCCACAGGGGGCCCCCACACAGCTGCTCTGAGTGGGTCTCAAGCTGTTCCGATCGCTTGCTCCTTCATCCAGCCACTCAGAGGTCATATATCAAGAGTGATGTTCCAGGAACAGGAAGGAAGGAGATGGTCCCTGCCATCTAGGGACCCCCAGTCTAGCAGGAGACAGGGGACAAGACAATTCCCATAGCCCAGGGCACCTCCTATGTACAGAATGATAAGGAGTTGCAGAGCATTCTGGAAGCGTGGGGGAAAGCTGTCCACATTAGATCCACTGGGTGACCAACCACGGCAAGGGCTCTGCCCAGCTGGCCCTGCAGATCCCCGTTCTTAAAAAGATCTCAAGACACAGAGCTGGGGCAGGTAGATCCGGGCAGTAGAGAGGGGTGAGGAGGCGTGGATACGAGGTGACAAGCTCTTCTGAGGGGGGCAAGATGACAAGCAGAACCGCTGTGGCCCAGGAACTTCTGCAGCCCCTACCTTAGCTTAGCAACACGGAAACACGCCCCTGCTTTCCATCTGCAACTTATAACATGTTCCTCCCCTATTTTTTATTTTTTCACAAACAACCCATTTAGGAAAAAATGGTCATCTGAAATAAGGCAAAAAAACTTTCTATCTTTAAAGCCTGTGTGGGGAAATACAATCAATCTTCATTATTCGAGGATTTCATATTTGCCAATGTACCTACTCACTATGTATATTTCTGTCATCCAAATTGATCCTTGGGGTGTTCCCTGGCTCTTCACAGACATGCCCAGAGACGTGAAAATCCTGAGTCAGCCGGTGCACATGCTCCCAACTAAGGTGAACCGGTGACATCCTGCCTTCTTATTTCAGCTCTCACACTATAAATACGTGTCCTTTCCAGAGTCTATCCAGTGCAACATTTTCCACATTTTCCTGCTTTTTTGTTGGTGATTTTGCCATTTAAAACGGCCCCCAGAGAGGGCTGTCTGAAATGCTGTCAACCAAGTCTAAGTCCAAAAAGGCTGTGAGGTGACTTTTAGAGAAAATACGTGTGTGAGATAAACTTCCTTCAGGCACGAGTTACTGCTTGTTGTCTACAAAACGTATTAAATATGGAGTCTTTAAAACAGAAGCACATAAAACAAGATTACATATCCATGAGTTGATGAAAATGTGATCAGGGGCTCACAGGAACCTAACGTCTTTGGAGAAGAGGGAAATGCGGACACAGACAGAGAGGGGCTTGCCAGGTGGCTCTGCGGAAAGAATCTGCCACCAGGCAGGAGGTGCAGAAGATGTGGGTTCGATCCCTGGGTCAGGAAGGTCCCCTGGAGGAGGAAATGGCAACCCACTCCAGTACTCTTGCCTGGAGAATCCCATGGAGGAGCCTAGTGGGCCACACAGCCCATAGGGACTTGCATAGAGTCAGACACAACTGAGGGACTGATCATACATGCGCGCACGCACACACACATGCACACACGTGCACGTGCACACATGCACACACGTGCACATACACATACGCACACCCATACACACACACATACACATGTGCGCGCACACGCACACACACACACACATGCACACACACAGAAGCCCATGTGCAGACACAGCCACGGGGGCAGACAGCCATGTGAGGACACAAGCAGATACTGGTGTGATGCAGCCACAAGCCAAGGAGTGCATGCAACCACCAGAAGCAGGAAGAGGCCAGGAACGATCCTCCCCTGGAGGATCAAGAGGAAGAACCGCCCTACAAACACTTTAACTTGGGGCTTCCAGCTTTCAGAGCTGTGAGAGAATAGATTTCTGCTGAAGTCACACGGTTTGTGGTACTGTGTTATGGCCACCCTAGGAAACTTAATGCAGAAGATGCTCTGAGTCAGGTGACAGGTCTCCTACTCTGTCTACAGTTAAGGGAAGATGAGGACAGCAGACAGTCCAAAGACCCCGGGGGTAGGAGGACCAGCTGCAGAAGGCAGTCAGCAACAGGGTGATGTCAGAGACATCAGGCCTGGAAAATCAAGCTTAGGATTTTGGTCATCATCCCAAGAGTAAAGAGAAAACTAGAGATTTATACCAACCAATGATATTACCAGTGTTGTGAACAGTAAAGATAAGAGTTGATTATAAAACCTAGACCAGGGCTCCACCAATGTTAATGCACATACAAATCTCGATTCAGGAGGTCTAGGTGAGCCCTGGGATTCTCAGTTTCTAACAAGCTCCTAGGTCATTGGACCACACTCTTGAGGAGCAAGGCTCCAGACTCACTTGGTTCTTCTTGCTACAAAGTCTGGTCGTCCCAGCAGACAGCCCTCCTCTACCAGTCTCTGTGCATCGTGTTCTGCAGTGTCATCTACTTGTTGACCCAGTCCGTTTACATCTGTCCTTCTAACAAGGATGCAGCTCAGCCAAACCTCAATGTCTACGGCTCACCTAGCCAAACTCTATGGAAATCCCACATATGGAAACTATTCTAAATCTTTAGTCAGGACTGTCATAAATTATAAGCAGATTAAAAAAAAAAATTATAAGCAGATTTTTAGGAAAAGCAAATACAGCAATGTAGGGATCAAAGTAGGGAAAACTCTATTATCAAGTGCTTCACTTACTTCAGGTTCCATGGTGTGTGTGTGTGTGTGTGTTTAATAGCTAGGACATTCCCGATGATACACAATGAAAGCTAACCCTTTTACACAGAAGAACTTCCTCTTTCTTACTCGATTTTAGAGCCTAGCTCCCCCTCCCACACACTAAACAGGTAATGAATTACCAGTGGTCTTGCCACATGACCCAGAATAAAAAGGTTGCCATTTGACGTAGATTTCTCACGACTATCAGAGGCTGAATATGCATCTGTGAAAGGAAGGGAAGGTAGAACTCAACATTGATCTAGCACATGCCTACAAGTCATGTGTTTTCCAGTTTCCATCAGTGAAATTCAAGGTGCTAGCTGGGTCTTCCTTCTTTGATGCAAGTTTCCCTTGGGCAGAAACACTCAGGACACAAGAAACAGGAAGAGAGTTGAAAAAGTCAGGGGACTCGACAGGGAAGACAAAGAGGTGCTATTTTTGCCAAGAGGACCGA